TAAGATGCCGTCGCGCACAGCCTGCAAAAGAGAGGAGGGTGGGGGGGCGTTAGTGAAATACTGACCTTCGTAGACACACCTGCAGGGCTGGGTGACTTCAAAGACCCCCCTCTCACCCACATGGACACCCTCATGCTGGGCAGCCTTGGTTAACTGACACCCTGGCCTGGGGCTGGAACAGTCTCTTTTATATCCTCCCATTTCCCTCCTGTACGCTTTATTCACTCAGACACTTACACATTGTCATTCACGCAGATTTTGGAGTGAGTGGAAAGCTCTCTCTCTCTCTCTCTCTTTTTTCCCCTTCCTTCCTTCCTCCTCTTCTGATTGTTTTCCTTCGCCCCCTTTCTGTTTTATTCTCTCCACTGATCTAAAGCCATCTGATTAAAGCCAGCCACTCCTGTCAGGCACCAACCCTGCTGCACAAGCTGTTAGGAATGTCTGATCTATTCCTCATGTCATAACTCAAGCTGGGCTCTCCATTACCCACTTGCAGATAAGGACCCAAAGCACTTTGAGAGTGAAAACTGAGGCCGATAGAAAGATAATAAAAGGCCATTTTCAGTTCACCCCGCTGCTTCTTTAATTGCGCAGGCATGGGGATGTGGGCGATTTCCTTCCCATAAGTGGGGGTAAAGCAAGACAAAGAAATGCTTCCTCTCGTGTTGTTTTTTTCTTGGTAACTTCTTCTTTAATCCTCAGTTTTGTTTTTTTTTGCTCCTGTCACATTTTTACTCACTGTAGCCTCATTTCTCACTGACATATAAAGTCCTGCACCTATTTTGAATAAGCAGAAAGTTTCAAAGTAGAGAGAACTACAAAAAAATTGTTGTTTTGTTTTTGTTTTTTGCAGTATGACGCCATAAATCATAAAAAAAGAAAAGTTAGATTTCTGTGATTATTTAAGAAAAAGTGAAAAAAACTGGGATCAGCATGTGCAACATTTTTCAAAGCACCTGCTTGTGTAACTAGTACTGGAAAAAATGTGATATTTAACTATTTGCATTTTTTTTTTCTAATTCCATNCTGATGCAGCGCTCTGATTTCTGATGGACTTGTGTTTGTTTGATGTTTGCTTCAGTGCGTTTTGTCTGACCAAGCACTTTTTGACTAGAATTGAGTCCAACCCTCCTCTCACAGCAACAAATTCCTCCTCCACGAACAATTTTAAGAAAAATCTCAAGACATACATGTTTTAGATGGCTTTTAATAGCTCATAATGGTGCTAATTTTAAGCAGTTTATATTTATTTTGTCTTAAACTAGTTTTATCCTCTTACACAAACTGATTGCTTCATTCAACTGGTTTTTTTGTTGTTGTTGTTGTTGTTGTTGTTGTCTGACGTTAAGATGTGCAGCACTTTGGTCAACTCAGGTGGTTTTAAATTTTGAATAAATTTGATTTGATTTTGATTTGAAAGCACCCCGTTTTTGCCTAAAAAAGCAAGTGAGATTAAATTATTTAAGTCTTTTTTTTTAACTGTCAGACTTTTCTAGAAAATATTTTTTATTTTCTATAAAATTACATTTTTTTCCCCTTTAAATGTCATTTTGCATTCCATTTTATTTGAATGTATTTTGTTCTGAGAACCTTCCTGCTAGATTTTTGCTTTTTTTTTTGTTTTTTTTCTTTTCCAGGAGTTTGTTTTGTTTGACAGTGTGTGCACAACAAGCACTTTCACAGCGTGGATAATTCATGCATTCTTGTTTGTAAGGGAGCACATAATCCCATAATTAAAATGAAGCAGACTTTTTTGTCCTTAGCTATGGGTGAGGGAGCAGCAGATCTGTGTCAGAGCTGGCTGGAGGTTTTATCAGAGCAGGAACATCCTCTCTGTCTCCTCTTATCCCTCAGCCGGCTTTGAAGTGCGAGCAGCATTGTGTCTGAGAGATCTCTCCATTTGTTTTCCTCTGAAGTCTGCGGCCCCCCTGCGATGCCCTCACTAGAATTTACAAGGTGTGTAATTTAGCCTGCGTTGGTTTTCTAATCTTTTGAGTCGCTGAGATCAAACGTGAACTTCTTCTTAAGGAGCATCTTGTTTGATTCGCTGCTCTCCTTTGTTTCTGATAACAACTGATCACAGCTCTGTGTAAGCAGCCCAACGGGGTTGTAACGTCGAGTCGCAAACCTCCGCTGATGAAGGATTCTCCTCAGGACAACTGAGGCTGGATGGACGTGAACCAACACATGTAAAGAGTTATAATAAATACAGTCACTAAACTTTCCAAAGAAAGAATGAAACTGTTTCTAGAAGTTTTTCTGGAGGTTGAAAATTGAAAACTTAATTTAACTTAATCAATAGATTTTGTTCATGTTTTTTATTTTCCCCCCAAAGAACTGAACTCTTTACTGAAGTCACTTTAAACAACAAAAAGCAATGAGCTGCTGAAAAGCTCTAAATTTTCTTCCCTCTGACTGAAAATGTTACGTGTGAGGTCCTGGTTTTCCCCTATTTCTATTCTGAAGCCGAATTTGTATCACGAGTGTCTCATTTATAAGAGCTGCTCATGTTTATCTGAGCTTTTGGGATGATTTAAAATAATAATAATAATCAATTAAAATCACTGTGATAAAAGTTGCAAAAATATACCACACTACAGTTGAGTAATTTGTAAAGCTGCACAGTTTCTTGTCAGGATCATTTCTAGTGAATTTAAGTAAAATAAAGATGCAAATATGCCTTTTCCACATTCTTATTGCACGTGTGAACTGCATTTGAGATGGAACTAATTAACACAACTATGGATACTGAAGTCAGTACCAAATGCAACATTAGCTTAATTTGCACGTTCAGATAAATTAATGATAAAACAAGCAGACAAATCATTTCAGGACACTCAGAGAAATTCTGTAATATTTTGCTCTGCAGTTTACATGTACACACAAAGTACTGGAAGGAAAAGAAAAAATTATTGCAAGACAGCACAAGAATATTTTCCTCTGCAGTTTACATTTAAAGCGCAGTGTGAGGGGATGCAAAAGTATTGTGAGAGAAAAGTTGTTGTGAGTCAACACAAAAGTTGTGGTGAAGAAACCTCACTGCAGGGGAATGCAGAAAAATCACAAGGGAGCAAAAACACTGTCGTCAGGGAGCACAAAAAGTATTATAAATCAGGACAAATCCTATTGCGACGAAATGCAGAAGTATTCTGACGGAATGCAAAACCTGCAAGAGAGCCTTAAGCTGCTGCGAGGAAATGGACACTGACTGTGAGGTGATGCAAAACTGTTGTGAGAGAACATAACAGTGTTGCAACGGAACGCAAGAGCACCATTGCAGAATCCTGCAAAGTGAGGCGCTGCTGAAGTATTGCAAAGGAACATATATGTTAATGTGAGATAAAGCAAAAATATTGCGAGGTAATGCAAAATTTGTTTCGAGATAATGTAAAAGTAACTAAATGGAAAACCATCGTGAGGCAGCTCAAAAGTATTGTACGGAATCCGAACACTGAAGTACTGCAAAGGAATGCAAACATTTTGTGAAGGAATGTAAAGTGACTGTGGGAGAATGCAAAACTATTGTGAGGTAACGCAAAACTACAGCAAAATTATTGTGCAGACACAATTTATCCGGGGTTAGCAGGAAAGCATTGCAAAGAAATGCAAAAGTTTTGTGGAGGAATGCAAAACTTGCAAGGGAACACGAAAGTTAATGCAAAAATATCGGGAGAGAAAACAAAAGTTGTTGTGCAGTAACACAAACAGGTTGTGAGGAAATGTGCAAAGTTTACTTATATAAAATTTTGCGAAGGAACGCAAAACGTATTGTGGGAGAACGCAACACGCAACTTACAGCAAGGGAATGGAAAATTATTGTGCCTAAACTTTTTCAGAGTAGCGAGACGGCATCACAAAATGAGTGCAAAAGTTATTGCGAGGAAACAAAAGAATAATCAAGTGAAACTATTGCGCAAAGTTATTGCAGCGGTTTTGCAAAAGAGTGCAAATGCAGCCATTCTTTATTCTTTATTAGGATCCTCATTAGCTCTCATATGGTGGTTACTAGTCTTCCTGGGGTCTCAGGGTAAAAAATAAAAATTAGATTTACAAAACATTAAAATACATAATGAATAGCAAACATTTAATTTAGAATGCAACCCGGTACAAAGCAGTAACTGGCTAACAGTAAATGCAAGTTGACACAACACTGTAAACACAACACCAATACAGAGGAAGATTGTTGTCTCTTTAGTTTCCTCTTATAAGAGCCGATATTTTTAGTGCCTCTGATCTGTAGAGAAAGTGAATTCCATGCTTTTACTCCTCTGTAAACAATAGTTCTGTTCATGAAGTTGGTTTTGGGCCTGGGGACGACCAAAGTACTTGAGGTCACTTGTCTAAACCCACTGAATAGGAGTTTTATGGTTAAAAATCTGGGCTCTTATTTTGCCAAAACTTTATGCATGAAGATCAAAAGACTGGCTTGTAATTTAGCCTCTACCGTTAACCAAGACAGTTTCTTGTGCATCTCATTTGAAGTGAAGGCCAAAGTATTGCATGGTAACATAAAAGAGAAGTTTTCACTGGGACACTCGGTGGCCTCCGTACGGGGTCAAATGGAAGTGGTGGTAAAATACAAGTGCTTTATATATTTACACAGGAGTGCAGTACTTCATGTAGTCTGTATACCATGAGCTCTCCACCACTCATATTTAGTCTGCAGCCTTTTTCTTTATATTAATATTTATATAACGATGCCCTCTTTATTTATTCAATACTGGCCGCTCTGGGCCTCCATACTTTACTGATATTTTCATGATCCTTTGTGCACCAAACGCTTTAAAATAACACAGACAGGTAGATGAGTTCACATCAGTCATTAGATAACTGGAGACACACACGATGACAGACTGGATTACTGTTCTTTGCCTTCCATTATATTACATTTCTGAGCAGCGCGTCGCAGGGATGCAGCCAATCAGCGCGCCGGGCTGAAAGCTGAGTAGATGGGAGGAGAAAAGGCCCAGGAGAGCTCAGCAGCAGCTTTTCCTGACTCATCTGTTGCAAAGCTGCAGGAGAGGTGGCGGTGCGGGCATCCTGCGAGCTAAAACACAGTCAGCTTTTGTTTTCATCTCACATACTTCCATCAAGAAAGAAAGAGTCCGATGCTGCGTTTCCACCGGGAGAATCTGCGGATTACGCGCATTTTTACGCCGCTTTCTCGTGCGTAAAACAAACATCTGATTTGCTGGACTATGAGCGAACTCTCCTGTATGCGCGTTTTTTGAGAAGTTGGTTGAATGTAGGAAACTTTTTTTTTTTTGATGCCACTTTTGAAGACTGCAGGCTGAAGAAAAAAGTTGCTGTCAAAGGTTTTGGAGACGCGCCAGTGTGTCCGCTCGAAGTCAAGGAGGACTTTTGGAGACTCGGAAGACATGAGACCGTTTGTTGTGTGCGCGCTGCTGCTGTTAAAAGTAAGCACTGATTTCTAGCAAAAATCCTTTCTGCTTTCTTTCTTCTTTGTCATCACGAAAATACGCGTAAACATCATCCACCCAGTTCACTTTTACCCCATTGTTCCCAGAGGAAATCTGCCCCACACCGCAGAGCCATACTTCATTAAGGCTGTGTCACACGGCCCCTGTTGGTGAATATGTTTGTTGTCATTCTGTTGCTGGCAAATAACAATGGAAAGAGTGAGAGGAGACATCTGATTAAATCTCATCCGGCCTTTTTCTTAAAGCCAAGCTGCTCCTCACCCTTGGTTCTTCTCCTCCTCGCACTGTGGCCTACCTTCCACAGGCTTGTTTGGAAGACCTCACATGGTCACAATTTAATTCTTTGTTTCATGTGCTCAAACTGGGAGGTCACTTTTTTTTTTTCTCTCCCCCCATTTTTTCCACTCACATGACACCGTTTTTCAGCCCATCATCATGTGCAGAGGCGAGAAAACAGCTGAAAAACACAAGAGCGCAACAGTTTAACCGACATTAGACGGTGATGAATTAGGTATTTTATACACAAATTACAGTTTCTGTGGTGTCTGATAGCGTATTATTATATTATTAAGCCAGGATCAGGGTGAAAAGAAAAGCCCCTGCCTCCATAGTGAGTTGCAGACAATAATTTGACACTCATCTACCTGAAAAAGCCCAAAGGGGTTGTAGTCCTGTCTAGACACGCTCCTCTGAGTAAAAGCACTTTTGTTTGATCAAAGTATCTAGATAAGGCTTCACCTCTTTAAAACATCTCTTTCTGATCATGAGGGTCTAATATCAACAGGGTTTGAGGTTCAAGATGTGGCTTCTCATCTAAGAAATGAAGGATTTTGGTGCAGAAGTAAGGCAAAATGGATTTTCTATGGTTTCTGTTGCCACATTTGTTGCTTTCTTGGTGAAACTGTGGCCCAGCTAGAAGAACTACTGGGGTCTGGATATCCGGAGCAAAGCAATTATCATCATTTTCTCCCAGTTTGTGGTGTTTATATGTGTGTGTGTGTGTGTGTGTGTGTGTGTGTGAGGAGGTGGGGGGGAGCAGTTTAGGTTGCTACCACAGTCATTTGAATTTCCATGGAGTAGGCAGACTTCAGGATCATTTAGAAAATCTTTATCTCCTCGCAGCACTTTGGTGAAAGTTGAAAAAAAAAAATCTGTAGATTAATAGTTGCAGCATCTCTGCCCCTGTTTGATTTAGGGATAATAGTTAGGGGTGAGCTTTTTTTTTTTTTCCTTTTTGCTGGAAGAGAGCCTTTAATTTGTCCCTCATGCTGCCTCTACACCAATGACAGTAATCAGTGCAGATCAGTGGGATGTGCAGCTCAGTTTTGTGGCTGTCGTCTCTGCAGAAAGCCTCCTCCGTCGGTCAGATTGTGGATTCTCGCGGGCCACAGTCTTCACGGGGGGAGAGCATCCTTTTGTGTGTTTATTTTTCACGCAGATTAGATTAGGTATGGAAACTCGAGCTCCGGACGCTTCTTCAAAAGCAGCGTTTTCACTTCAGAAGGGCGCACAGAAGAAAATGTCTCAGGGCTTAAATGAATAAGTGTGTGTGTGTGTGTGTGTGTGTGTGTGTGTGTGTGTGTGTGTGCGTCTGATCTGCGATGACTGAGTGACTCCGGCAGCCGTGGAGCTGAGAGCCCCATTGAAAGCGGCGCTGCTCCTCGGTGGTCCGTCTGTTCTCGCTGGGGAATCCCTTCAGATTGCAGCTTCTTACCTTAATGGAAAAAGCAACTGCAAGTTTCAGACTTTACGCCCCCAGTGCAGCAGATTACACCGAATACTCTGAGGGAAAACGCCCCGCAAATGGGCTTGAGCAAGATAAACAAGGCTAAATTCTCCTTTTCCAGCTTCTTAAATGTGAGTATTTTCTTGTTTCTTGCCTCCTTTGTGACAGTAAACTGAATAACAAAGGGTTCAAAGGCTTTTAATGTTGTAAGAAGCAACAAACAAGTTACCAGTGGAATAAAACTCACTGTGTCTCTTCCTAATGCCGTGATTATCCTACATACCTCATTCAAATGCACTCATCACATGCATCTATTCATACATACTGAGGTAGACCAATGTTAAATATGCAAAGAGCCTAAAAGAGAAGTCCAGTTGCTTTCTCCTGAAGCTCCTCGGATTACCACGACCTGGATGATCGAGAATCTACACAGACATGTACAAAGAAGAGTGCAAAACAACATATGTTCAAATACAAAACAGTGCAAAATTTATAGTGCAAAGAAAGACGTGATTTTGGGCTTTTTTTTTTTTTTGCAATTTTCTGACATTTTAAAGAACAAACAAATGATTGAATTTGCAACTTGAAAACTGCAAACAATGATACTGTAGCAGCAGGAGTAATGCAGTGGTAAAAGTTTCACTGTGTGGGTCAAAAGCTTTTAATTAACTAGGATCAAGTTAAATAAGCGCCGAAAACTTGTTTATTTGTGCACCACCAAAGTCAAACTAACAATCTACGCGTCTGATTGTGTCCTCTGATGTTTTAAAAACCAACTCAGAGGAAGCTGTGATCTCACTTTCATGCTACTTTCTCGACATATGCATGTAGAAACACACGACAGTGCACAAAGAGTTGACTGATATGAGGTTTTCAGGGTCGAAGAGACCGATTATACGATATTTGGAACCGATATTGACAATATTTGTAGTAAAAACGAAAATCCTGCCTTCAAAATATGCAACAACAAACTCAGGCACAAAACTTTGCTGGATTTCCTTTTGTTTATTACTTTTTAACGTGTTAAATTAAAGAAGAACTTCTGGACGGTTTTCTGTCAGTGGTGATTGGCTGTAACTCTCGTAACCAACCAGGTAGTGCTGTGGGCGGGACATCGCTCCAGAAGACACGATGGAGTAGATTTTTTCAATTTATTTATTTTATTGGAAGGCAGCTTCACCGATAGTCAGAAAAATGCAGATTGTGGGATCTGACATTCAGGCCTTGTCCACACGTAGCAAAAAAACACGAAGATATTTTTCTACGATTTGACCTGTCATCCACACGAAAGTGCAGATTTACGGCACTGAAAACGATTCTTTCAAAAACCTCCGACCGAAGTGAAGATTTGCGAATCCTCCGTTTATGCGTCTGTATGTGGACACCAACAACCAGGGCTTAAGGTTTTGAAACGTCACTGCCTACGACAAAATATGTTCTTACGTCACGTGTGCGACCTGTGTTTACATTCGGAAACAGCGTGGATGCCCTCAAAGCTGTGTTGGCGTTGTCTCTTGTTCAGGCCCAGATACTGCTCCATGTACAAGAACACAGGCGAAGGACGATGTTAAGGACGATTATTTTATGAGAGACAGAAGCTTGCTCTGATTGGATAGAATTTAGGGAACTACTGCCACCTAAAGGTTTGGCATGCTTATGAATGTGCTTAACAACACACTTAAGTGGTTAGGTGTGGATGATTTTTTTTTCTTTCTAAAAACGAGGTGGTGTGTAGGAGGGAGAATGTGTGGTTTTATAAAAACCCAGCTATGTGTGGACGAGGTCTCAGTTGATTCCTAATCTGCACATTAGAACTGTAGTTAGTTTATTCAGGAGACAGCGACAGAGAACGTTTAGTGTCTTATCCCAGATGTGCATTCCGCAAAACCTGCTGGTTGAATAATCCTGAAGAAACGCTCTCTCATCTTGCCTGTACTACTGTGTATGTACAGCAACATGACAGTAAACTTGATTTGATTTGATTTGACTTCAATACATGATCCATGTAATGAGGCATAAGCATGCTTTTGTTTATTATATCTCATTTTGCTCTTGGACAAGTTTCAAATGATCCAGTGCAAATGTTTTCTATTCATTATCCTGAAACATCTTCTTATGCCAATAAAGCTCTGCTGGTATCCATACTTAGAGCTATATTATGCTGTACATACAGTAGATAACTACTCAGTCATTCCTCTCCTGAGTGGATCACTGTTCCCCGCTCGTCTCCAGTTGGGCATGCACTAAATCTCTCATTGTGCGCTGGGCACCGACGGGTGAAGCTTCTTGGCAGCTCTCGGTCGAGTCAGGCCTCCAGCCGAGCCCCGCGGAGCTGCACCGGCCCAGACTCGCACCGTAAAACGACGGAAATCCAAAAGAAAACGGAAAACGTCGGAGTGGAAAAGCTTCATCTGTCAAACGGAGACGACCAACCGGAGTTACCAGGATGCCCTCGATCCACATTATTACGCTCACAGTCTGCCAGCTTCAGATATCCTCCTGATTCCTGCCTGCTGGATTCTACCACCACCACTGCTCCCCCAGCACCCTAATACCTCTGATCTGGCTTCTGCCGCTGATATCATCAGGCTCCTCTGTGCAGTCAAACGGGGCTGTTGTTTTTGGAACGAGGCGAACCCAGTTTCAAAGCTGCTGTACTATCAGCATGGAACATTTTAGTGTTTTGCGACTGGGGGCATGGCACTGTGTGTGTGTGTGTGTTTGTGCGTGTGTGTGTGTGTGGTGGGCTTTTGTTGGAGGCTCTGCAGGTTCACACATGTTCCCTGTGTTCCTTGGCAGACTTCAGAGACAAAGAGAGACATCATTGGTCTGTTTAGCTGTTACTTTTCCCCTTTGCAGGAGGTTAGTTGTTAGACATCTGTTTGCTCTTGTCAGCCCCCAGGCGGAGCGGGCCAATCTCCCCTTTAAACGTGTGCATGTTTAAGATGCCGTCGCGCACAGCCTGCAAAAGAGAGGAGGGTGGGGGGGCGTTAGTGAAATACTGACCTTCGTAGACACACCTGCAGGGCTGGGTGACTTCAAAGACCCCCCTCTCACCCACATGGACACCCTCATGCTGGGCAGCCTTGGTTAACTGACACCCTGGCCTGGGGCTGGAACAGTCTCTTTTATATCCTCCCATTTCCCTCCTGTACGCTTTATTCACTCAGACACTTACACATTGTCATTCACGCAGATTTTGGAGTGAGTGGAAAGCTCTCTCTCTCTCTCTCTCTTTTTTCCCCTTCCTTCCTTCCTCCTCTTCTGATTGTTTTCCTTCGCCCCCTTTCTGTTTTATTCTCTCCACTGATCTAAAGCCATCTGATTAAAGCCAGCCACTCCTGTCAGGCACCAACCCTGCTGCACAAGCTGTTAGGAATGTCTGATCTATTCCTCATGTCATAACTCAAGCTGGGCTCTCCATTACCCACTTGCAGATAAGGACCCAAAGCACTTTGAGAGTGAAAACTGAGGCCGATAGAAAGATAATAAAAGGCCATTTTCAGTTCACCCCGCTGCTTCTTTAATTGCGCAGGCATGGGGATGTGGGCGATTTCCTTCCCATAAGTGGGGGTAAAGCAAGACAAAGAAATGCTTCCTCTCGTGTTGTTTTTTTCTTGGTAACTTCTTCTTTAATCCTCAGTTTTGTTTTTTTTTGCTCCTGTCACATTTTTACTCACTGTAGCCTCATTTCTCACTGACATATAAAGTCCTGCACCTATTTTGAATAAGCAGAAAGTTTCAAAGTAGAGAGAACTACAAAAAAATTGTTGTTTTGTTTTTGTTTTTTGCAGTATGACGCCATAAATCATAAAAAAAGAAAAGTTAGATTTCTGTGATTATTTAAGAAAAAGTGAAAAAAACTGGGATCAGCATGTGCAACATTTTTCAAAGCACCTGCTTGTGTAACTAGTACTGGAAAAAATGTGATATTTAACTATTTGCATTTTTTTTTTCTAATTCCATATTTGTCTTCTGCATGGTGTGCGTAGACACAACCTGCAGTTCAGCCGAAAAGCCTCGAAATATTTGTCGTATGACTGTTAATTGCCACTGAGTCACTTATGGCGTCATTGTTGTGCCAATGAACACAGAACGTTTTGTTTTGTTTTTTACAGAATTTGGTCAGCGCCAATGCCAATTTTAAAAATGTAGAATTAAGTAATTTTTGATGAAATATCACGAGTTTAAGCTTAGATTTGGTTGTTTTCTGATGAAACACAGATGACTACTTCAAGGACTCTCAGAAAGCGGAACATCTGATTATTCTTTGGTGATGACAAGTTGTGCAATTTGGGGATTTTTTCTTTTTAAAAAACAACAACATGCCTTTTAAATACGAACACTGTAGTTTCAAAATGAACAGGGTCGATCCAAAACGGCCTAAAACACAAGACAATGTTTGTCCTTCTTCTAATGAAAAGTGGTGGTATTTTGTCTAACTATGTCATCTGTTTACTGCAGGTTACTCTTGGAAATGCCTGTGCCAGTGGCGAGTTCACTGAATCGGGCCAGTGTTGCAGTTTGTGTCCTGCTGGCTTTGGAGTGGTGGTGGACTGTGGGAAAGAGGATACCCAATGTGCACCATGCCCGCGGGGTAAGCACTTATCATCTAATGTTACTACTCCACTGTACTATAGAAGACAGTATGTTTTACTTGCCTTATCATTATCTCTGTCATATATCCGAGAGGCTGGAAGATTTGACATTGTACTGGTTCTCAGAATTGTACCCAAAGTGACACTTTTTCTTGCGATTTGTCTCCCAGGAACATTTTCCCCGTCTGAAGGCTTCGAGCGTTGCCTCCCGTGTGCCAGATGCCCGTTCAGCGTGCCCACGGTGGCCTCCTGCTCCGCCACCTCCAACACGCAGTGTGAATGTGACAACGGCTATTTCTTTTTGAGCTCCCACAACCTGTGTGCGCCGTGCTCCAGATGTGCCCACGGTGAGGGGGTTGCCCGGGAGTGTGGCCTCCAGGGAGACACGGTGTGTCAGATCTGCGGCGCCGGAACCTTCTCCGAGGACCTCGTCAGCACCAAACCCTGCCAGAAGTGCACTCAGTGCTCCGACAGCGAGGTGGAGATCCGTCCCTGTATGCCCAACTCCGACACACTGTGCATGGGTGAGTTGTAGCGAAGAAGTTGGCTCAGTAAATTCATTGTTTTACTAACTCCGTGAACCCCAAGCAGTTTCTGGATGTTCTTTTTTGCTTATGTCACATTTTTGCACACCGTGGGGTCATTTTTCACTGCAATATAAAGTCCTGCACCTCTATGGAAACAGAAATCAAGTTTATTGTCATTTTGCTGTACATACACAGTAGTACAGGCAAGATGAGAGAGCGTTTCTTTAGGATCCAATAACTTAAAGCAATTTAAATAAAGAAGTGTTTGCATATCTGGATCAGCAGTTCAGCATTCTGGCAGCTTATAGAAGGAGAAAAACCATGACTAGAAGTGGAGAGAATGCCTTCTGTGTAGTATGATATAGTCCAAATGCTATAAATTATTCTAAAAAAGCAAAAGTTGAATTTCTTTCATTATTAGTTTTACAAAAAATAATCAACATGTGCAGCTCATTTCCAAGTGTCCACAGGTGTTACCAACACTAGAACAAACGGTGACTCAACACACTTTAAATATTTAACTACTACTTTTGTGTTGAAACACAGCCTGCAGTTCAGCCGAAAAGTCCCTGAATTTTGTCACATGACTGTTGGTCACAGCTGAATTAGTAATGGCTTCAGGGTAGGTTTGAGTTGCACAAAATATTTAGTTCTTTTCAGAGTCTGGTTCATGGAAAGGTTTGTTTTTGGCAATTAAAAAAAATTTGATGTAAAATAATGTGACTTTGATTTAATATGATTTTAAGCTCGGATTTGGTTTATAGGATTTGTCTTTCGGAAAGTTGAAAATCTTTCTGTTTTTACAGTTTCTTGCTCTGGTAAATGGGTTAGATTTGCCTTTTTTTTTCTTTTTTTGAAGATAACATGCATTTTAAACCCATCTGGCGGGTTGGTGGGTTCAGAAGATTAAAGAAAAAGTTTGGTGACATTGTTTATTCAAAAAATCCTAAAAGACAATAAATTGACTGAAGTACCTGACATATTTTCTATGTTACTGAAGTCTGAGTTAGTTTCTGTCTCACTAAAATAGTTTATACATTTCTGCTTTTGGTCTTGGCCTTGTAGTGGAGCCAGCTTTGTGCTTTAAAGATCTGATGCAGGGGGAAGGCAGCAATGGCAGATAAAAAGATAAAAGCTGAAGGGAGGCAGAACTAGAAGAGGGAAGGTCTGCGAGAGTACAAGGACATGTGGCCAACACCTGCATCCACACCTCACCTCTGAACGCTCCGAGCGGGGAAACGGGAGAAGCGAAGAAAGAACCCACTTAAGCGCTGTAGTTCATTTGACATGAGCTTGACAGGTCTTTAGGTTAACTGCCCTAAAGAACTCTGAAGGCCAAGGGAGGCTGCTGACCCTGACAGCTAGCCCAGTTTGCCCCCAAACGGCTACACTCGCTCTCCAGGAGTGGGGTCATCTGTACACGCTGTGGGTCCACACGTCGCGACCCTTTGACCCCGCTCGGGTCAGCGTGGTACCTCATAAGTGTTTGATCCCGAAATAGGCAGTCCGCAGGAGGGAGAACGAGGCTGGAAACAGGGGCAATGAAAGGTTTGAAAACCCCAGGGGAGCGGGATGGCTGAGGCTATCATTACATCTGGCCCTAATTTATGGTGTCCAAATGTGTTCTGATGTGCATATGTGCAGATGCAGTGATACTCGTTTCCCCGACACGTGTCCTTGTGAACAGATAAGAAGCTGGACATTCTTTCTCGTCCTGCCGACGGAACTAGAGATGCTACTCGCTGGCCAGGTGGAGACGGTGCGATGGAGGACGGCGAGTCCAGTCCTGCACCCGAAACGCCCAAGTTTACCCCTCAGGACCCGGGTGACAGCAACAACATTCTGGCCTACATGTCTGTTCTGGCTGCGGTTGTGCTGGGTTTGCTTGTATATGTGGCGTATAAATGGTGAGTCCTTAAGTGTATTTAATAATACTGAGTATGTGTGGCCGGGGATGAGAAATAGCTCTGTGTGGGTAGTTTAACTGACATTGTTTTCCTGTGCTCCGCTCAGCTGGAGATCGTGTAAACAGAAGAAGGCTCTCTCTAAAGCTCGTGCGGCCGAGTTGGGAAACCCTCCAGAAGGGGAAAAGCTCCAAAGTGACAGCGGTGTGTTTCTGGACTCCTACAGCCTGCAGGACAACCAGCCCAGCAAAGGTGTGGTAGAAGCTAAACTGGATAGGATTTCTGAGGCTTCAGAACAAGGTTACTAAAGCATCTAGTCCTTTAATAACTCAGTGTGTTCAAATGTGATTACTTGCCTCCAGTACTTCATATTGTAGAAGAAAGGGTGCAGAAAATAAAATAATAGGCCGCAGCAACATCTATTACATTACCACTCTTCATGTGACCAATATGTTGAAGAAAACTGAGCCTACTCACAGTAAGACGAATAAATATAAACTTCTCCAAAAATGCCCTTAAAATATCCAACCCCCAAAGTCTATATTTGATAATGAGATTTCTTAATTGCACAATCTTCCTGCTCACTGCTCACAAGTCTTTCTTTAAATGCCACAAAAAGATTTCCAGTGGGATTTTCTTACATGGACAGTCAAGGATATTTCAGGATTGATTCCTGGACCGATCTTTGGTTGACTTGGACGTACGCTTGGGATTATTTGTCTTTCTGGAAAATCCAGTGATTACCAAGCTTCAATTTGAGGGCATCCGGTGTTTTTCTCAAAGTGGGTTACAGTCTCAAAAGGTGGCTTTCCACTGCAGGAACTCAGGGCAGGCGTAAGGTGGCAAGAATGGTGACAGAAATAGTTCCACAGTCTGCCCTTTTAGCTTATGTGCTTCCAAAACAACCCAAAATATAGCAGTTGCTGGATGTTACTGAAGTTGTTGGTCAAGACATGTGCAGCAGTTTTTCATTGCTGCTCAGAAGTTGCTACCCCACTGTTGTTTTTCCCCAAAAATAGACTTGAAAGAGGTTCTACGAGTACTAAAGCTGCAACTTGTTGCCGTGGGAAAATGTGTAAAGAATCCGAGATGCCAGTTGGATGTCACTTTCTCTGCTGTTGTGGAGAAAGTTTGGTCTTTCATCAGTGCCCAGGAAGGCTTGCTCTTTCACCAGGAGTATTAAAATGAGATGCATCATGGTGCCAGCTGTGTATCTTGAAACTTGAAGTGTCTTGAAACCCCCTTTTTTAAAAATCCTCCATTATCCTTTACATGCGTTCTACTCACGGTAAAGGAAGGGTTTAAATTGTGTATCACGGCTGAAGCTTCACAAAGGTTTAATTGCATTTTTGCACAAATTTGGTAGCCTTACATCTTAGTAATTCAATTTAGTTTAATTCAATTTCATTTATATAGCACCAATTTACAACAGGAGTCATCTCAGGAAACTTCACATGAATAGAATCCAACAAATCCGACAATACTCTTTGAGCAGCTCTTTGACGTGAGCGAGAGGGGAAAAAAAAGTCCCGTTAGTTAAGAAGAAACCTCCAGCAGAACCAAGAGCTACCGGAGGATGAACATCTGCCTCGACTGGTTGGGGGGAGGATAAAGTGGAGAGACAACAGGATAGCAGACGGAAAACAGACAGATACCAAAGAAGAAAACACTGAACACTGTTGGGATTATTGAGGCCAGTAACTGCAAATCAGAAACATGCAGCTCCGGAGCCACAAATACTTGAAGAAAGGACAAAACACAAAGTACAAGAGAGAAAAAAAGACACAAAGTCAATGACATACATGTATATGGTTAACCCTTTGAATCCCAAAGGTTTGAAACATATGTTATATTTTAAAAACCCTTTATCACAGCTAGAAATTCTAGAAATAGAAAAAAAATGGATTTCCTCGGACAAAACAATAAATGTTTGCACTAAGCAGACCATTTAAAGGAAACAAGGGAGGAGCTGTGAGTCACTCAGTCGTATGACAGAAAGTTAAGTGGCTTCTTGGCTGAACTGCAGGCTGTGTTTACACAGAGCTGAGAGGAGACAAGTATGGAAACAAATTAGAACGACTGGGAGGAAAATAAAACATACTTGAGCAATAAAGTAAATGCAGAATGGCGCAAAAATGGTAAACAGAAGAGAAAGTTGTTGGAAAAAAACGTTAAGCATGGTGAAATATCTCAGTCTCTGTTTGGAGCATTGTGAAAACATCTCAGTTGCAGAGGTTGTAAACTTGTACATAGTAACATCTATTGTATGTTACTTGGAAAAATGTACATATTAAAAGTAAATAGAGGATTGAAGGCATTACAGCTGTTCTCTCTACTTCTTCATGATTGTGCTGTTTATATAGAGGTGCAAGATTTTATAATGCAGTGAAAGATGAGCTGACAGCTTGTACAAATGTATTCCAAACATTGTTCACAAAGAATGGGTAAATCTTTGGTTATGATTACCTAAAACCCCCAAGGACCAAACTGTATTCTCTAAAAA